TGATGATGATGATGATGATGATGATGATGATGATGATGATGATGATGATGATGTTGATGCTGCTGCTGTAAGAACGGGCACCTACATTGACCTTATAGTTGACCTTCCTCAAGGTGGCGCCGCTGTGGCAGTTCCCCCTCTTCTCCCAGCGCACAAACAACACAGGCTCCGGGAGTTGCCGCAGGTCGCGGTAGTCCGTCAGTGGAGGCCGGCACACCTCACAATGGCTGCTGCCGCACTTCCGGTGCTCTATGTGCTGCTCTCCCCTCAGTCTCGCGCTCTCCGGCAGCTCGTGGTCAGCACTGGTGCTGCGGCTGTGGCTGATCTGTTGTTCCTTGCTGTAACTATGACCACTGCTGATGTTTTGTTCATCCCGGGAGTGGGGAGGCCACGTGTCGTGATGTTCTGTCGGATGTCGGTGACGGCCCGCTGTGACGTGATGTTCTGTCGGATTTCGGTGACGGTCCACTGATGTGGTGGGTGTGTCTAGGATCTCCAGAACCTCCTGCCTCCTGTGGCCGTTGTTGAAACAGCTGTAGACCACCCTGTGGGGGACAGGCCGCGATCTGTGGCTGTCCCTGTGGCGGGAAGTGACGAGGGCCGGGCAGGAATGTGGGCGGGGAATACTTTCTAAGACCTCCATCCAGACCTGTTCACGGCGCTTCCATCCACGCTATCCTCCACAATCCTGGTATTCCCCGACAATCCTGGTATTCCTTGTATTTCCGGACAGTCTTGATAGTTCCTGGTATTCCCTGACACTATCTGCGTCCCTCAGCGACACATTCCTCTATACAACAAGTCCGAGAGGTCAGGTGGCATGGAGCGCGCAATGTGTGCTGTCTAGAGATCTAAATCAATCCTTTCATCTGATCGTGTGTTTGTGTAAAGAGAAGCACAGTTACACACTAACATTCCGTGTGTACCGTGTGCAACAGCTACACACTATCAGCTACACAGTGAGTAACAACTACACACTAACCTAACAACTACACAGGTACCACCCCATGTGCAACAGCCACGACAACGAGCTAAGCCATTTCCTCACCCCGCCGCGAATGTTCACTCACAAATCTGTCAACTCTACATTCTACATCACTGTACAGATAGTATTAAACACCATCAGAGGGGCAGAAGCAAACCACAGTCAGTTGTGCTATTCCAAACACGATGTCGACTTACTGTACTGCAACGGCTGAGCGTCAAGTTTTAGACCGCAAACCACCTTCCCAAGCCCCTCTCCCCCTCCCCCCACACACACTCCCC